GGCCGCAGCCGGGGCCTGGGGAGTGGGGCGAAGTCAGAGGCCCAGTTTCCTCTGGGCCGCCCCTTCTCCCCGGCAACCTCTTCCTAAGGAGGAGTCTCCGGGGCGGGGGACCCGGGCTCAAAAGGGAGGGGGCGGGCGCGAGCAGTGGGGAGAAGGTGGCGGGAGCGCAGCGGCAGTTTCGGGAAGTTTGGGCAGGTCTGGCACCCAGACCTCCCGGCAGAGGACAGCGACTCCGCGTCTGGAACATAGAGCCCGTACGTAGGGCGGGGCCGGGGGCAAGCGAGGCGCCCGAGAGGACCCCGTTACCTTATCACAGGGTGTCCCCGCACCAGTCCGCGGCCGCTGGGGGGCGGGGTCTGGGTAGCCGCTACCCCCAAGCGGGGGATCTGACGCCTTGAACAACCCCTCCCCTCAGCCCCCAAATACTACACACACACACCCTTCCCGGCGCGATTCTTGGCCACGGCCACCTTTCCTGGGTCTCCGGACCCTTTCTCCTGGGTATCCCCCCTCGGCCTCCCTCTGCTTGGTAAAAAGTGAGTTTGGTGTGTGTCGTTCGCGTGGCTGTCATTAAGGCAGTCTGTTATTGTGCGAGGCTGAATCAGTGGCTCTTTGTGCGCTCAGCTGTATGGTAATGCAGACCGCACCTGCTCCCCGCACAATGCGGAGAGAAAGAGCTCCCCTCCGCGCGCGCCGCGGCCTCTGCAACAATGTCCGGCACATGTTTTAAAGACCCTCCGGCCCGACACCCCGCCTCAACCCACAACCTTTGCACAACCATCACCTTATTAGGTTTTTACACGTCCGTCAGACGCTAGAACTTTTGTTTTGATTTTTTTTTAGGGGAAATGAGTTTATTGGGAGGGCCGAGAGCACACGTATCACACAATGATCTATCTAAATTGTTCTCATGCTTGCGGGCGCGGTGCAGAATTAAGGTGGGGGCATGGACTCCTACTCTGGCATCCAGCTCTGTACTGGGCGCTCTTTGCGGTCCCTTTCCCATCCCTATCTGCTCCTTCAACCTCCCCCTCAACACCGCCGGCAGCTTCATCCAGGATGAAAGGTGTGAGTGTTGGAGTAAATATCACTTTGATGGCAGCACAGCCCCAGGGCGCCTGCCCACAATGGCCTCGCTGTAGGTGTGCTACCTCCGCCTTATTGGTGGGAACGCGCAATATCCTGGCAAAATGTGACTTTCTTTGCAGCAGATGTTGAGATCACAATGTACCATATAATGCAAACAGGGAAAATTCTCAGATACCAAGTAAAACCACCATAGACAGCAATCTGAAAATCAGAAGTCATCCTCAGCCATCTCTCTAGCCTTTAGGTAACAGGCTCTCCAATACCTGTAAAGTTTTAGAATCCACAGATTTTAGGTTTTCCACTGATGCCTCCCTAGAGAAGCAAAGAATTAATCAAAAGTAATGTGTATGTAATATTTAAGGCTGAGATGAGAAAAGCAGGCTTGGACTCCACCAGAACCCTATATGGTTTGGTTCAGAACAAATGGAGACTTCAAAACCTCCCATGACGGTGGCAGTCCCGGCATGGCCACCCTCTGGGGACTTTGCAAGGACTCGCTGCATCACCATAGGGCTGGGCCAGCGCGAATCCTAATTTAATCTTGCCACCTAGTGTCAGCATCCTTTTTCACTACATCCATGTTTCCTCTGAAAGCTAATTTCTGAGAACTCTGCTCCCTACTGCATGGAAGCTGGTGTGAGAGAGAGAGAGAGAGAGAGAGAGAGAGAGAGAGAGAGAGAGTAGTAAGGAAGGGAGGAGAGAGAGAGAGAGAGAGAGAGGTGGGTGGGAGGAGGTAGAGGTACGTACGACGAAGGAGGAGGAAAGAAAGAAAGGAAAGGAAGTAGTAGACGTACTACCTAAC